CGCATCTTTCTGCTAGTCAATCGACATAAACTAATTGTTATGTTTACAAGCCATTTAACGCGTCATTTACATTGTCCCGATGCCATTCCGTCCCACTCTCACAGTTGGAACAGTAGGTACATTTGCCTTCCACATGGATAAAAAGGCCTCCACTGCTGCAGCCGCTCACTCCGGAGGGCAATCGATGAATTATTTACGACCGTTTAATAGCTGATGGAGCTACCAATATAGGCGTAGGCACATCGGTCGATACAGTTCGTATAGTAGGAGTAGTCGCAGGATACGCCCCCTACCAACCGCACCCGCCCAGGATCGACAATCGAACGAACGCTCTATGCCATGATGCCACGCGGCCGCCAACCGTTACCGCATAGCAAGCGGTGGTTAAATTGAAAACGGTGTGCACATTGTATAATTAATTGACTATCAATATTGACTTTTCGGAGGTGACCCCTCGCCGACTTCCGGTTCTGTCAGTTCGGGGCGGAGGAGGGCTTTTTTGTTTGTTAGGTTTACGAGCTGACTACTCGCATTGATGGCCTATACTACTGCCGACTGCCGTGGAGTTCGTCCCGCCGACACTCTTCTCAATAGGGTTGCTAATTGATTCAATTTTTTTTTTGTTTGTTTACGCTGTGACTGTGTGTGTGTTCGCACCCCGTTCGCTTCAAAATCGATTGGCGGGTGGCTTTTAATGAAATTAGTTAGCACCGATTATGTCGATATTGTAGCTCGTTGTTTATTGAAACTAAACTATAGGTGTTGTACGAGCGCTTTAATGCGGTTCAACATGATTGGACTTCGCGGTGAGCAGGGAAGCGGGGGGGGGGGGGCAGACCAGTTGCATATTGCGCAAAACTTTGTCCCTCCGCATGCAAAGTGCAAGCGACCGGAAGCGAACTGGTTTTCCTTCTGTTTAACTTTTCAGCTTCTTCGGGACTTTGAATTCCTTTCTGGAAAGTTGTGCTTTTGTCTTGCTGGGCGCCCGAGGAGCTCGTATTTGCATAAGGTTTTTGTGCTTAATTTAATTAATTAGGAGATCGTCCCTTCGTCGCCTGGCATTTGCGAGACTTCCAACCATTTCGGAATTGCTTAGACTGCATAGATCAGGCTAACAAGAATCCTGCTGCTGTTGCTCGTAGAAATGTAAGTAAATTGGTCGGAAAAGTTCTACAATAGCATCTGCGGAAAGGACGAGGAAAAATCGTGGTCGAACAGTCGCATAAGTACTTAAACTTTCTTCGCCAAACTTATTTATATTTATTCCTAACAGTTAACAGGCAGTGATTTGCATTCGAAAATTCCCTCCTCTTTCGCAACCCATTCATTCGTCGTCTGCCAGATTCTTCAAGAAGAACCACTTTCGTGGTTAGCTTTTCCATTTTGCATTTTAATTATTTAATTTCGCTCTTCAATCTGTCTCCCGCCTCGAGTGTTTCGCCAAAGTCTGATTTCCCACTATCGTAGAGGAAAATTCTCCGTTCGTCGTCGTCGTCGTCGTCGTAGATAACGTACAATTGCACAATAATACAAAACTTCCAGAGACTCGACGCCGCGCCGGTCGGAGGAGAGTGCGGCACAAAACTTTAAATTGAGATTGATCTGTTTTGTTACCGCAAATTCCCATTTGAATTTAATTTCGTAACTCGGTCTGAGTCTCTTCCCCTTCGACTGCTGGGCATTTATTGCATGCATTTGCATTTGCAGTTCCGGTGTTTCCAGAAGGCAAAGATTCATTCTACGGATCGAATCGATGTTCGACCATTGAGGTGTGCGGCGTGCAGGCTGTATCCTTATTTTCAATTACGCCCTTCGGTGAGCAATCGACCACTGGATCCGTTAGGAGAAGGAGCCCAAATGGTTTCAGCAGTTGTTTGCAGATTCAGCGTAATTAATAGAAACGCGTTAAATGGGAACGAGATAACAAATATTCGTGCATTTTATTGGTTTGTTGAGAATTTTCAGGTTTAGGGCTCACTAAAATAAGTCCCATAGTTTAATGCTCAGGAGCAATAAATAAAATATTGAAAAGGAACAATAGACCAGTGAAAAGTAGCTATTGAAAATTTAAAAAATTGCCATTGAAAATATCATTTAATTTAGAATTGAGCATAACACCTAAGTCTCTAACTTGACTGCATCTTTCAACTGGTTTCTGGCCTATAGTTATTGCTTCTTGCCTTATAACGTGCATTCTTGTAAATGAAGTGGAATTCCATTTTCTCACATTATGTTCTAAAGGTTGTCCCACATCGAATTGCATCACGGAAAAACACGCTTCAGAAAATTACCTATTGGGTATTTTCTCTTGAAAATTTGGGTAGAAGTAGTTTAGAGTGTATTGTTTACACTGAATTTTTTTATCGCTGTCAGTTTTTCGAAAGTTTGAAAAATGGCGTCACCCGAAAAGCAACGCTGCGAATTGATTTTGCGCAAGCACCTGGAAAATCCTCAACTCTCCCATCGGGACATCGGAAAACAACTCGGAATCGTGCAGTCAACGGTGAATCGTGTGATTAAGCGTTGCTACGAAACTCTGAGCATCAAACGGAAGAGGCAATGCGGTCAGAATGGATGTTATATTAGTGATCAGGATCACAAGCGTGTCGTGAAAGCAATTAAGCGGAATCTCAATCAGAGATGTAGCCAACAAGTTGAATCTGTCCAAGTCTTTCGTTCCGGGACTGCATACGTACAAAGTGCAGAAGGCTCCAAATCGTGGCGAACGGCAAAATACAGTCACGGGCCCGGAAGGCTCATTTTCTCATCATGGATGATGAGACTTACGTCAAGGCGGACTTCCGGCAGCTTCCGAGGCTACTGTTCTTCACCGCCCAGCACAAGTTTGATGTTCCGGAGGAAATAAAAAAACAGAAACTTTCAAAGTTTGCCAAGAAATACATGATTTGGCAAGCGCTCTGCTCATATGACAAACGGAGTGCGCCGTTCGTGACTACCGGGACTGTAAACGGGGAGATCTACCACAAGGAGTGTCTACAAAAGCGTCTGATTCCTCTGTTGAAGTAACACGATGGCCCTACGATCTTCTGTCCAAATCTAGCTTAACTATTCAAAAGTTGTCCTGGAGTGGTACGAAGCCAACGGGTTCATTTTCGTACCCAAGACTTTCAACCCTGGGCTGGTTCGTCTACTCCCGTTTGGTATGTAATGAACAACAGAGATACACGATAATTCATATAGTTTCTGCTGTTGATGGTTAATTTTAATGGTACTGCCAACGGCAACTACCATGACGACATCAGAGAACTTGGTACTTAACATTTGTTTAGTTGTTATAACCTTTGCTTGACACCTCCACTGGATATTTATGTCCGCCATCTTTCACTGTCTGCAAAAATATCTAACAGCTATTATCTGTGTTGTGATACTTCCTTCAACGAAAACAAATTTTCTTGCATTACCATGGTCATCTGGTCCACCGAGTACTTGGAATGAGCCAATTAATCATACTTAAACAAAGTAAGTATACATATACATGCTATATTGCGACTATATGGTTACAACTATTATGGTTACTCTGAAAGTGATGCGTTATATTATTTCTCAATGTTTTGATTTTATCCTAACCTTACCTAAATATTATAACACAGACAAACAGGCACAACACCTTGAATATTTATCATTGCAAACACTACCGCCATCTGGCGTATACACTCAACATATGACTGTAATGTATAGTCATCAAACGCAAGGGAATTGATTATGCGCGCCACAAGTGGCGGTACAACCAACTAAGAAACACTTACATAAATTTACCGTTAAAAGCGATTTCGATGAACATTTTGAGAGTGTTATTGTTGCTAACACTGCCAGTCCGAACTTTTCTACTCGGGTATCGCAGTCGTCGCGCCGCCAACCGTCAGGCCACCCCTGAGCGTAACCATAGCAACAAAATAACCATCGAAGCAAGCGGGTGTGAAAAAATAGTGAAAAATTTGTTCAGAGTGAAAAAGTTAGTTGACTTGTCTCCAAGTTTGTAAGTTTGCAATAAAATAAAAAAAAATAGTTAATCTCGTTGAAATTATTGTCCAAAAAAGTGGTCAGTTCGTGTCGTCTTTTGCTGAGGGAACCCCTGGCGAATAAACTGAAATTCCTTCCCCAACAAATAGCCTGGACACGAACTTCTCTCGACAGGTGAGAAAACACCCGGCCGTCAACGACCAGGACGATTCTTACACTTTGGTCCTTCGAATGTCAAACGACAGTTTATATGGAACCGCAGTTACGCCGCTCCAATAGAGAAACTCGGGGCGCAGTACCGAGACGATTCGAAAACTTTCTCGTGGGCCTTCCACGTCATTCGAACATGTATCGAACTCCTCCAGTCAACAGAAATCCGCAAGATCAATCGAACCTGCAATCCAGGAACGGTGAGTCCGTTCTAGCTTCAAATTAAAATCGCACGGATAAGGTATCTGTCGCTAGTTCCCGTGGTTCAAATGGAGCTCCCTCGTCTGATCGACGTTCAAGTTGAAGCCGGTCTTCCAAAATCAGCGAAGCTGATAGCCAACTTAGAGCCCTGTTGTTGGAGGAGCAGATTGAGGAAGAAGAACTAAAGGCTTCAATCGAACGAGACAGGATCCTGGCTGAAAAGCAACTGGCTGCGTTGCAGACAAGATCTAGCGCTGAAGACGGAAAAGAGGAAAGTGGAATTCCTAAAGCGAAAGCATGAACGCGAATCGAAGAAGAATGAACTGAGGTCTGGTTCAAGTCACGACTCGAGCATCTCCAGCAGATCGAGTGCGTGCACCAGTACATCGAGACGTGTTTGAAAATGGCTGTCTGAATCAGATAAAATTAAGACAGATAATGCAAACATTGAGCCGTCTAACCAATTGGCTCGACCATTATTTCACGAATCTGGAGCTAGAAATCATGTAACTGCTCCTGAACCAGGAGTGAATGAAATCTTGTCTCAGGCTTTCAAGGCGTTGCAGAGTCGAAACGTAAAAGACCTGCCTTCGTTTTCTGGTGACGTAATGGAGTGGACGATTTTTGAGAGCGAATTCAAAACGTCCACTGAAGAGTTTAAGCTGACCGATCGCGATAACCTGAGGCGGTTGAATAAGTCGCTGCAAGATAAAGCGCGCAAGACCGTGGAATCATTGCTTTCGTCTCCTGATAATGTACAGCAGATCATGAGAATGCTGAAATCTAACTTTGGACGCACGGAATGGGTGGTGGCGAATAGATTGGAAACACTGAGAAACCTGGAGAGCATCAAGGAGGGAAACATCGAGTCCTTTCGTGTTTTCTACAACGCGGTGATTGGAACCAAGGTTGCGATGCAGAATGTCAAGGCGGATAATTACTTGATGAATCCGGAACTCATCTCACACCTGACTGAAAAACTGCCTGCATTCAGCAAGCAGATGTGGGTTCGACACAAGGCCGCTTTGATGAAGGAAAATGTCGTAATCGACTTCAACATTTTCTCTCGCTGGTTGGAGGATGAGATGGACAATCAACTCGCAAGTCTAAATCCTGTCTTCAGTGCCAAGAAATCAAACTTCTCACTGAAGCCGAAGCAGATTGTTCTCAACGTCAACAGTCGTGAGGGGGAAGAGACAGCGAAGTGTCCGCTATGCTCGTCAAGATCGCATGCTAGTTTGGAGAAGTGCGAGCAATTCCGCAAGTTATCTGTTGCTCAACGTCGGTCTGCTGCTAATTCTTGCAAGGTCTGCTACACCTGTCTGAGAGCGGATAACACAAGAAGAAACTGTAAATCCAAGAAGAAGTGTTCGATCTGTGAGAAGAATCATCACGAACTGGTCCATAATGATGAACTTCCAATGACCACCGCGTCTCGCCGACCGGATACTCAAGACAGTCAGATGAACGTATGTAACGTGAACGGTAAAAACGTCAACACACGGCTCCGAGTGGGAAAAGTGAAGATTCGTGGTCCGAATGCCGTCGAGGAAGTGTTTGCCCATCATCACCTGGAGCTTTCATATTACTCCGTCCAAATCAGTCCCCCAGGAATCACGGAGGATTCAAACTGGTGAAATTTGCATCGAACTCTGAAACTCTTCTGGATTCGCTTGACCCTTCTTTAGTAGCCGAGAAGAAAGGAAGTGACACTCGTGTACTCGGTATCAGGTGGGATCTTCTTTCAGATGAATTTGTGTTCCCGTTGGATTTTCCAAAACTGGATGAGAACTTCCGTACTGGTGGCACGGTGCCTACCAAACGGCAGCTGCTGAAGTTTATGATGAGCATCTTCGATCCATTGTGTTTGCTCAGTCCGATTACGATACACCTGAAGATTATGTTCCAAGAGCTGTGGCGGTTGCAATCCAGATGGGGCGACGAAATTCCTGATAGCCTGGTCCCGAAATGGATGGAGTGGTTGAGCGAAACTGCTAAGCTGGAAGAAATACGTGTTGCGAGGTAATACTTCCCGGAGGTATCGTCTGAGCTGCATGCTTTCTGTGACGCAAGCGATAAGGCTATTGCATTTGTGATTTACATGGTTCATCGTCGAAACGGTAAGTCACTCGTTGCATTGGTGTATGCCAAGGCAAGAGTTGCTCCACTGAAATCATCGACGGTACCACGACTTGAACTTCAAGGGTGTGTTCTTGCAAGTCAAATGGTGAAGGTAGTTCAAGACGAACTAAAAATAGAAGTGAATATGCAGTACTTCTGGACCGATTCTAAAATCTGCTTGAGTTGGTTGAAGACGAGTCAGAAGCTCACGGCGTATGTTGGTTCTCGTGTCATGAAAATTAAGGAGAATGGTCATGGAGTTGATCTGTGGCATTGGGTTCCATCACAGCTGAACGTAGTTGATTTGGCTACGAAGTCCTCCAAGTTTGGTTGTATGCAGGAATGGTTGAAAGGTGCTGACTTTCTGTATCGGGATAGTGTCCATTGGCCGAACAATGAACTGCTAGAGATGTCCTCGTCTGAGTTGATAAATTTCCATACCGAAGTGATTGCTGATGTTTCCGTGGATCCGATGTGTTGTACCGTGGTTGAAGTTAAGTTGGTTGACCTTCCCGATATTGAGAGGTTCTCTGATTTCAATCGCTTGATTAGATCTACTGCGTACTACCTGAAAATGCGAAAGATTTTAGCACTGCCAAAGTATAAAAAGCCTAGATGTTTGACAATCTCCGTGAACGACATGGATGAAGCTAAGAGTGCCTGGTACAGGAAGGTACAGTCGCACATTTTCTGTGAAGAGTTGCGCAGTCTGAAGCAGACCGGATTCGTGAAAAGCAATAGTCGTTTGAAAACATATTCGCCGTTTCTGGAAAACGGAATCATCCGTCTGCGAGGTCGTGTGCAGGATGATGGAAAGTCGTTTGAAGTGAACAATCCTGTGATTCTTCCTGACAACCACCAGTTTTCAACTCTACTGATTCGTATGTACCATATCGCCAACGCACATCAAGGAATGGAGACCGTTGTTAACAATATCAAGGAACAGCACCGTATCCTGAAGATTCGCTCACAAGTAAAGAAGTACACGATGTCCTGTGTCAAGTGTCATGAGCTTAGAGCAAAACCGACCGTTCCGCAAATGGGAAACCTACCACCGGAAAGAACAACCCCGTTCGTGTTCCCGTTTACATGTACGGGTATTGATTATTTTGGACCGTTGTCTGTAAAAGTTGGTCGTCGTGTTGAAAAGAGGTGGCTGCATAATGGCCATCCACTGCTTCATGTCCATCCGTGGCTTACCACAGTGCATCATGACCGACAACGGTACCAACTTTACTGGTGCAGATCCTGACCTAAAAAACCTGGTGAGAACTCTGGATCAGCCGCAGATGCGTCAGAGGTGTTAAGTGGAAGTTTATTCCACCTGGTGCTCCTCATTTCGGAGGTTGCTGGGAACGTTTAAAGGGTGATACGGTTAAAATTTGGTCAATATCAACTTGACGTATTTCTTTCAATTTTGCATTTAAAAAACCTGAACACCCCTCATTTTGAAGGTGTGTGTGTGTAAAATGTTGCTCCTATTTTGATTTTGGAATTCACTCTTCAGTTGTCAAAATGCCGTCCAAGCAAGAAGAGCAGCGTATCAAAATTTTGCTCGCGCATCGCGAAAATCCGAGCTACTCGCACGCAAAGTTGGCAAAATCGCTAAAAGTTGCCAAATCAACCGTTACAAATGTAATTAAAGTGTTTGAGGAACGTTTGTCGACAGCCAGGAAGTCTGGATCGGGGGGAAATCGAAAACCGGAAGCCGCTGAGACGACAAAGAGAGTTGCCGGTAGTTTCAAGCGAAACCCTAACCTCTCTCTCCGAGATGCCGCAAATAAGCTGGGTGTATCGTCTACAACCGTGCATTGAGCCAAAAAACGAGCCGGACTATCGACTTACAAGAAGGTAGTGACTCCGTATCGCGATGATAAACAAAATACGACGGCCAAAGCGCGATCCCGGAGGCTGTACACGACGATGCTGACGAAGTTTGACTGCGTGGTAATGGACGACGAAACCTACGTCAAAGCCGACTACAAGCAGCTTCCGGGACAGGAGTTTTATACGGCAAAAGGAAGGGGAAAGGTAGCAGATGAAACTGTCAAAGTTCGCAAAGAAATATCTGGTTTGGCAAGCCATCTGTACCTGTGGCTTGAAAAGCAGCATTTTCATAGCTTCCGGGACTGTCAACCAAGAAATTTACGTGAAAGAGTGTTTGAATAAACGTCTGCTGCCTTTCCTGAAGAAACACGGTTGTTCCGTACTGTTTTGGCCGGATTTGGCATTTTGCCATTACGGTAAAAAGGCCATGGAGTGGTACGCCGCCAACAACGTGCAGGTGGTTCCCAAGGACAAGAACCCTTCCAACACGCCAGAGCTCCGCCCAATTGAGAAATACTGGGCTATTGTCAAGCGGAACCTAAAGAAGACCAAAAAACTGCTAAGGGCGAGCAGCAGTTCAAGGCAAACTGGCTTTCTGCGGCGAAGAAGGTGGACAAGGTGGCTGTACAAAATCTGATGGCAGGGGTCAAGCGTAAGGCCCGGCAATTCGGATTTGGAAAAGCGGAAGCCTAACTGAATATTTTTCCTGAATTTTATACTAATTGAAGTTGAAAAAGAAATTTAATTTGATTTTTTAAATAAACGATTTCACCGATTTACACGCGTTTTCCCTTGACCAAATTTTGACCGTATCACCCTTTAGTACGCTCTGTGAAGACTGCCCTTCGTGCAATGTTACGGGATAGGCACCCTACGGACTTGGTGCTGCGTACTGCTTTATGCGAGGCAATGAACACCGTAAACAACAGACCTTTGACACACGTTCCGGATGACCCCCTGGACCCTGAACCGATAACTCCAAACATGTTGCTGCTCGGCCGAAACAATTCAATCCAGTTCGACCATAACTTTGATGAACGAGATCTTAACTGTCGTGCTGCCTACAAGCATTCTCAGATTTACGCGGATCGTTTCTGGCGCAGGTGGATAGCCTCGTTCCGTCCGGAGTTGATCAGAAGCCGCAAGTGGCCGGACAGCAGGAATTACCACGATTATCACATCGGTGATCTAGTGATGATAGTGGACGAATCGCTACACCGAGGAAGCTGGCCGAAAGGAGTTGTAGAGAAGATCTACCAAGGACCGGATGGAAAGGTGAGAACAGTTGCAGTGCGGACATCAAAGTCGACCTACAAAAGACCTGTAAGCAAGGTTGTGCTGCTCCAGGCAATCAGCTCGGTTCCTGGCCCGGAGAATGTTGCTAACACTGCCAGTCCGAACTTTTCTACTCGGGTATCGCAGTCGTCGCGCCGCCAACCGTCAGGCCACCCCTGAGCGTAACCATAGCAACAAAATAACCATCGAAGCAAGCGGGTGTGAAAAAAGAGTGAAACATTTGTTCAGAGTGAAAAAGTTAGTTGACTTGTCTCCAAGTTTGTAAGAAGTTTTCCTCAATAAAATAAAAAAAAAAACAGTTAATCTCGTTGAAATTATTGTCCAAAAAAGTGGTCAGTTCGTGTCGTCTTTTGCTGAGGGAACCGCTGGCTAATAAACTGAAATTCCTTCCCCAACAAATAGCCTGGACACGAACTTCTCTCGACAGGTGAGAAAACACCCGGCCGTCAACGACCAGGACGATTCTTACAGTTATGTCTGCTTGTCTGTTATCATATCTTAACTATCGCAATGACATTCGAATGTGCGTGATCGAGAATTGAGTTCTTCCGGTCCCTAGCAGCATTGCAAGTTTTATCGAGGTTAAAAACCATTAGATAAGTCCAAATTATGGTCTACAGAACCATCATACAACCCTAATTGTTACTTAGGATGGCAGCGTTCAAAATCTCAACCAAAAACGTTAACTAACTCTGTTGACATCCACTGAAAATCGCCACCGAAATCATGCGGAACTGCGGAATGAGATTTTTAGCCGTAGGCTATAGTTTATCCACAGGAACTTTCGTTGACTTCATCTAAAATCTTCATCGAAAATGTGAGGAGTGTCCAGTACGCATAACACGTGCTCCACCGTCGAAGGAATATGGCAAATTTCACAGGTTTTCCTGAAGGGTTCTCCGCTGAAATCCCGTGATATTAGGGCGTGTCTCGGAGGCTGGGAAAACTCCTCTGGTCTCGTAGGTTCACAAGTTCCGTCCACTTTCCGATGTCGCCCTTGATCTTCCTAATAAACGGAAGTCTGGCACGGGACCATTCCGTGGCCCGCACTGTGTAAGCGATTCATTTCTTCACGTCCTGCAAGGGCACCTTGCGTGAGTACCGAAGACCTGATGGGCCTGACCCGGCTAGGTTGTCCGCCTCGATAATTCCTGGGGTCCCACAGTTCCCGCAACCATCAGGATGCCCTATGCCAGGGGTGCACCGGGACCTCCGACGAAAGAGCCTAAATAACATTGTGGGAGTCCGACAGGATCAGAATTGGACGATCCGCAGAAACCGTGACCACATGAAGAATAGCCACTGCTTCTGCCAAGAACACCGAACATTATTTTGGCAGACTTCTACTCATTGGGGAAATGTCACCAGCGATTCCCATTCCGAATCCAGATCTTGATCTTGACCCGTCCTTGTAGTTGGGGTACGCATGTAGCATGTAGTTGAGGTAATGATGATGATGATGATGATGATGATGATGATGATGATGATGATGATGATGATGATGATGATGATGATGATGATGATGATGATGATGATGATGATGATGATGATGATGATGATGATGATGATGATGATGATGATGATGATGATGATGATGATGATGATGATGATGATGATGATGATGATTGTTACACCCCTGCGGAGTGTGACGAACCTCCTTCTATTTAGCAACCTTGCATCCGACTTAAAGATGTCATCAACTGTCATCGTCAATGACGAAGCGCCCAACCGTAAGTAAAAAAGAAAACAGAAGAAAAAGTGAACAAAAGTCACGGTGAGATTTTCTGGTTAGTTTTTTCATTGAAATTATTATAATTCTAATTTTTTGATTTTGAAACTAGTAATACTTATAGTTAAAAAGAAAGTGATTCGTTAGCAAGAAATTCCGGATAATTGTACTCTAATATAACAGGTAAATTTGTAATGTGAAAATAGTGTGAAAAACTAACCTAAATTTGAACATTGTAGGCAAAGGCCTCCTACTAGCGGTACGAATAGCTGAACAAGTTGCGAAGGCTAAAAAGATACTAAACGTGAGTAATATGTATAACTATCAACTATGATCATGCATTGAAGCTGTTTACAATTAATTATCCTTATTCCTAAAGCCTAAATCTAAATTAAAAGATATGGCACTTACAATTAGGACATCCACTTAAACCTAATGAATTCTTGTATTGAATTTGTCATTAAAGGAATTTTTTAACCCTCCCTCACCATTCTGAAACGGGTTATAAAATCGGAAATAAATCTCGTTTGTTCACGCAACAATTTAAAAAATTCGTTTACGCGATCGGGAGGCAAAGTCGGTAGTCGGTCGGTGAGTCGGTCAGAATGTCGAAAAAGGGTGACGGTCAGAAGCGGGGAACTTCTCCTGCAAACAATCCACCCGCGGATGTCAGCTGTGAAATCTGCAAGAAGCCGGATGATAGTCGGATGGTAGCGTGTGATGTGTGCGGAAAGTGGTATCACTTCGCGTGTGTGAAAGTTGACGATGGTGTCCAGGACCGTGATTGGAGCTGCGATAGTTGCACCGAAGCCGGAGCAGCAGTTCAAGTCCCAGCCGGAAGTTCAACGTCATCCACCACCGGAGCTACAGCAAAGGCAACAAAAACGAAGCTACACGAGCTTGGTCCGGACGACGGTCTTCAACGCCAGCTAGCGGCGATGCAGAAGAAGTTGAATAACCAGCTGAAGGAGTTTGAACGGGTCATGAAGGAGAAAGACGAGCAACGTTACAGGGCCCTCAGAGAGCAACGGGAAAAATACGAGCAGGAAATAGAGGATACCGAGCGACGTATACGGAGCTCGCTGGAGGCTCGTCAGCGAATAGTGGACGCATTCGGAGAAGGTCCAACAGCGAGCTCAACGGGCAATCCGGTTCCGCAAGTTCATGTGAACGGTTCCAACCAAGCGGGAGATGTTCTGGCACAGGAGCTGCAGTTGCTTGAGGAGAAGCAAGCGTTAGAAAGGAGACATTTGGAGGAGAAAAGTCAGATTCTTCAAAGGTGTGGACGGTTCGACGGAGATGCAGCTCAAGGTGCTTCCGGACTCAACCCTCAGGCGAACGCGTTTCAACCGTGCAATCGGAGCAATCTGTGTGGTGTCTCTACACTCAACCAAAGCCAGGTTTCAGCGCGCCAAGCTGTTAGTAAGGAACTTCCGAGCTTCACAGGAAATCCTGAAGAGTGGCCCCTATTCTTCGCAAGCTACGAGAACTCTACTCGAATCTGTGGGTACATCGACCAAGAAAATCTTCTACGGCTTCAACGATGTCTTAAAGGAAGAGCTTTGGAAGCAGTGCGTTGTCGACTGCTGCATCCTTCAAACTTGCCAGGTGTTATCACTACACTGAGCACGCTGTTTGGAAGGCCCGAGATCATCGTGCATTCGCTGGTTAGCAAGATTCGGGAGATGCCACCACCGAAAGCAGAAAAGCTGAACACATTGATCGATTTTGGAGTTGCTGTTCAAAACGTCTGTGCCACCATCAAGGCAGCGGGTCTCGACGATTATTTGTGCAACGTAGCTTTACTGCAAGAGTTGACGGAAAGATTGCCACCTGCTGTAAGGCTCAACTGGGCGTCTCACTGGCACACGCTGGATAGGGTCACCTTGTCGGACTTTGGAGATTGGCTTGGAAAGTTGGTGGAAGCAGCCAGCGTAGTCACGATTCCATCCATCGGTGTCCCGAAATCGGAGAGACGTGGTCGAAAGGAGGATAACTACCTCAACGTACACTCGGATAGCAACCCCACCGAAGAACTCGCCACGAAGACTCGTTCGCTACCAGTTCCGAAAGGTTGCGCTGTATGTCTGGAGGAATGCAGCGGTCCAGAGACGTGTCGTAAATTCCTCAACATGGACATCGGAGCCCGTTGGACAGTTGTAAAGGAGCAGAAGTTGTGTCGAAAGTGTTTGCGGAAGCATTTCGGCGCCTGTCACGTTAAAACAGCATGCGGAAAGAATGGTTGTTTGTTTATGCATAGCAAATTGTTGCATGACGACAAACGGTACAACAAGCCCGCAGTTTCGGAACCGACGGCGTCTACGAGCGGAAATTCATCATCGCAGAGCTGTAACACTCATTCGAATACGGCTGGGAAGGTTCTGTTTCGATATGTGCCTGTGATCATCTACGGAAAAGGGAAGTCTGTGAAAACCTTCGCCTTTCTTGACGATGGGTCGTCGGCTACATTTATGGAGCACAGCCTGGCGAAGGAACTGGATCTTGAAGGAACATCGCATCCATTGTGCCTCAACTGGACGGGAGGTCAACAAAGGGAGGAAAAGGAATCGATGAAGCTAACGCTGAAGATTTCCGGAACACACGACGCCAGCAAGGTCTACGAACTCCCGAAGGTTCACACGGTACGGAACCTTTCTCTACCGAAGCAGTCGGTGTCAGTACAACAATTGGCAGCCAAATACAACTACCTGAAGGGATTGCCAGTCAAATCCTACGAAAGCGTGTCTCCAAGAATCCTGATTGGGATGGACAATTGCCGCCTCGGTCACGCGTTGAGAAGCACCGAAGGAAACGTGAACGGACCGGTCGCAACGAAGACCCGTCTCGGTTGGCTCGTGTGCGGACCGTGTTCGATGATATCTGGAGCAGCAAATACAGGTTACAGCGGCTACCACAGCTTTCACATTTGCCCGTGTAGTACGGAAATGGATAAGGACCTGAACGGCGCTTTGAAGGAGTATTTCTCGATTGAGTCGCTGGGAATCTCTGGATCGTCCAAACCACTAGTTTCGAAGGACGAAGAACGAGCGCTGAAGATTCTATCCACCGAAACACACCTGAAAGGGAACCGCTATGAGACTGGCCTGTTGTGGCGGTACGATAAGGTGCAATTGCCCGACAACCGAGCAATGGCGTTGAAGCGTCTAGCATGCTTGAAGAAGAGGATGAGACGGGATCCCGAACTAGCAGCAGCAATACGTGCTAAGATGTCAGAGTACGAAGAAAAGGGGTACATTCGAAAGCTTTCAGCGGCTGAGAAGGCGGAAAAGCATCCGAACGATTGGTATCTGCCGATCTTCCCGGTCACTAACCCGAACAAACCTGGGAAGATACGGATCGTTTTCGACGCAGCTGCAAAGGTGAACGGCGTGTCCCTCAACTCGTTACTTCTTACGGGACCGGATCAACTGGTAGCGCTGCTTACAGTTCTGTTCAAATTCCGTGAATTCCGTATCGCCGTAGTTGGGGATATCCGCGAAATGTTTTTCCAAGTGCTGATGAGGCTGCAAGACCAGCGAAGTCAAATGATCCTGTGGAGCAGCGGAAAACCCAATGAAGATCCGGACGTGTACGTAGTGAATGTTATGACGTTCGGCGCAGCGTGTTCTCCAAGTTCCGCGCACTATGTGAAGAACCTGAACGCAGATAGGTTCATGGAGCAGTTCCCTCGAGCGGTTGAGTGCATCAAGTACGAACACTATGTCGACGACATGCTATCCAGTGTGGAGACCGAGGAGGAAGCCGTGCAGCTAGCCAATGAAGTGCGTTTCGTGCATTCTCAAGGAGGCTTCGAGATTCGTAACTGGTTATCGAATTCAAGCAAAGTCACGACGTCCTTGCAGGAGGGCACCACCACGGAGAAAAACATGAGCCTATGTACGGAGATGGCAACGGAGAAGGTGCTTGGAATGTGGTGGGACACCGCCACCGACACGTTCACGTTCAGGATATCACCAAAACATGATGCGGAGCTGTTGTCCGGAGTCAGAATGCCCTCGAAGCGGGAAGTGTTACGGACGCTGATGGCGATATATGATCCAATGGGACTTATCGCCAATTTCTTGATGTATTTGAAAATTCTCCTTCAAGAAATTTGGCGCTCTGGGTGTGCTTGGGACGATGAAGTCACTGGAAAGCTGGCGGAGAAGTGGATGATTTGGATCGCAGTGTTGCCTGACGTACGTAAGGTGAGCGTTCCTCGGTGTTATCGATACATCACGACTGCTGAAGCCACAAACACTGTTCAGCTGCACGTCTTCTGCGATGCAAGCGAAAATGGAATAGCTGCCGTGGCATACTTTAGATTCGAAGAAGCTGGAGTGATAGAATGCGCCATGGTCGGATCGAAAACACGGGTAGCACCGTTGAAATTCCTCTCAATTCCACGATTAGAACTACAAGCTGCTGTAGTCGGAGCGCGTTTGGCAGACAGCATTGCAGGCTCACACCGGATCAAGATTTCACGCCGAATATTCTGGACGGACTCCCGCGATGTGGTATGCTGGATACGATCCGATCACCGACGCTATAGCCAATTCGTAGCGTTCAGGATCAGTGAGCTGCTGGAAAGCACTGGAGGGGATGAGTGGAGATGGGTGTCTACGAGATCGAATGTGGCTGATGACGGAACGAAGTGGCAGAGGCTGCCGGACTTACAACCTACAAGTCGCTGGTTCCGCGGACCAGACTTCCTATGGAAACCGGAAACCGAATGGCCAGGTGAAGGCGGAGATCCGGGGACGACTGCAGAAGAGATTCGTCCCAGTGTTCTTCATCACATGATCACGGAACCGCTGGTGTGCTTCGAGCGTTTCTCCAAATGGAAGCGGCTGTTGAGAACGGTCGCATATGTTCACCGATTCATCACGAACCTCCAGAATCGAACCAACCAGATACCCGTCGAGCTAGGACCGCTTACGCAAGAGGAACTGAATAGTGCCGAACAAACCATCTACCGTCAAGTGCAACGGCAAGCCTATCCGGACGAGGTTCAAATGCTAAGCCACGTGGATTGGGACAAACAGCCCTGGGAACGCATCATCCCGAAGACCAGCCTGTTATACAAGCTTAGCCCGGCCATCGACGCACACGGTGTACTACGGATGCGCGGACGGATCGAAGCTTGTGAGTGGGTAGATGAAACCGTCAAGAATCCGATCCTGCTTCCGAAGCGTCATCACGTAACCGATTTGGTGATCGCCGATTATCACAACAAGTACCGTCACCAAAACCACCAAACGGTGATGAACGAAGTAAGGCTGAAATACTTCATTCCCCGGCTTCGATCAGAGTACAACCGTGTCCGCAAAAATTGTCAACATTGCAAGGTACGCCGAGTAAATCCGCAGCCCCCTGCCATGGGAAACCTTCCTCCCGCACGCCTAGCGGCGTTTCAGCGACCGTTCTCGTACACCGGAATAGACTATTTCGGCCCGATGTTGGTAGTAGTCGGAAGACGAGTTGAGAAACGGTGGGGTGTTCTGCTGACCTGCTTGACGACAAGGGGCGTTCACATCGAGCTCGCACACTCTCTCACGACGGATTCCTGTATTCTTGCTCTACGAAACTTTATCGCGAGAAGAGGATCCCCGCTCGAGATCATTAGCGACCGAGGCACAAATTTCGTTGGAGCTTCGCGGGAGTTACGTGAAGCTTCGAAGAATGTCGACGAGGAGAAACTAATGACCACCTTCGTCGGGCCGAAAACCAAGTGGACGTTTAATCCACCGGCTGCTCCGCATTTCGGAGGCTGTTGGGAGCGATTAGTGCAGGCAGTCAAGAAGATCCTGTATGAGTTCAACCCTCCGCGGCTACCGACCGACGAGATCCTTCGATCAATGCTCATGGAGATCGAGATGATCATCAACTCAAGACCACTCACCCATATACCGCTAGACACTGACACTGAGCCCCCCTTAACGCCCAACCATTTCTTGTTAGGGTGCTCGAATGGAAGCAAGCCCCCGATCGCATTCGACGACCGACCTGTTATCCTGAAGCAGTCGTGGAAGATGTCTCAGCTTTACGCCGACGAGTTCTGGAAGAAATGGGTGACCGAATACCTGCCGACCCTAACCCGGAGGACGAAATGGTTCCAACCTACGAAGCCCATCGAAGAAGGGGAGTTGGCCTTGATCGCGGACAACAATCTTCCAAGGAACTGCTGGCCGAGGGGTCGCATTGTGAAGGTCGTTCGCTCCAGCGACGGACAGGTGAGACGAGTAACCGTGCAAACGGAGCACGGACTGCTGGAGCGACCAGCGATCAAGATCGCTATTCTGGACGTCGGTTCAGAAGGAAGTAAGCCACTTCAACACCAGCGGCGTACTGTGGGGGAGTGTTACACCCCTACGGAGTGTGACGAACCTCCTTCTATTTAGCAACCTTGCATCCGACTTAAAGATGTCATCAACTGTCATCGTCAATGACGAAGCGCCCAACCGTAAGTAAAAAAGAAAACAGAAGAAAAAGTGAACAAAAGTCACGGTGAGATTTTCTGGTTAGTTTTTTCATTGAAATTATTATAATTCTAATTTTTTGATTTTGAAACTAGTAATACTTATAGTTAAAAAGAAAGTGATTCGTTAGCAAGAAATTCCGGATAATTGTACTCTAATATAACAGGTAAATTTGTAATGTGAAAATAGTGTGAAAAACTAACCTAAATTTGAACATTGTAGGCAAAGGCCTCCTACTAGCGGTACGAATAGCTGAACAAGTTGCGAAGGCTAAAAAGATACTAAACGTGAGTAATATGTATAACTATCAACTATGATCATGCATTGAAGCTGTTTACAATTAATTATCCTTATTCCTAAAGCCTAAATCTAAATTAAAAGATATGGCACTTACAATTAGGACATCCACTTAAACCTAATGAATTCTTGTATTGAATTTGTCATTAAAGGAATTTTTTAACCCTCCCTCACCATTCTGAAACGGGTTATAAAATCGGAAATAAATCTCGTTTGTTCACGCAACAATGATGATGATGATGATGATGATGATGATGATGATGATGATGATGATGATGATGATGATGATGATGATGATGATGATGATGATGATGATGATGATGATGATGATGATGATGATGATGATGATGATGATGATGATGATGATGATGATGATGCTAGTTTTCGCTTGACAATTGCCCAATATTTTTCGATCGGTCTGAACTCAGGGCAATTCGGAGGATTGATCTCTTTGGCGACGAAATTAACATTGTTTGCAGCATACCATTCTAGTACCTCCTTAGAGTAGTGGCAACTGGCTAGATCATGCCAAAACATAACGTTGGTCTTGTGTTGCCGAATGAAGCGTAAAATTCGCTTTTTCAGACACTCTTTAATGTAAACCTTCGACGACATTGTGTGAGATGTGATGAAAATCTTGGTTTTAAGGCCACAACTGCAGATTCCTTGCCAAATGAATAGTTTCCGAGCAAACTTATCAGCAAAAACAAATTTATACCTGGAAGGGACATCCCCACGACCAGTTTCCAGGTAAAAATTTCGTCCGGGGATTTGTTTATAATCCATTTTGACATGTTTCGTCATCCATTAAAATACAGCCATCAAATTTCGTCAAAACTCGTTCTTATAGTAATCGTGCTCGCTTTTTAGCCACTAAATTTTGTTTCAGGGAGCGATTCGGATGTTTACTGGCACAAAAAGACTTATATCCTTCTCTTGAAAGGATGTTACGCACGGTGGAAAAGTTGGAATCGTATTTCTTTGCCAAATCACGTATGGAGACCAGTGCTGCAAATTTTCAAATCATTCATTTGAATCCGAGCAAACATGAACAATCAGTCGATTCTGATAACTCTTCTATTCATCAGAACCATCAATGTCAATGAATCGATTTGACAGATGGGTGTGCTTCATTCATGCGGGTTGCTTTTCGCTGTCTTTATTTTGTTCAATTGAATGAACCCTCATTCATTCGAACCACCATTCATACAGTTCATCGAGTTTTACTCTTGTCAAATGAAAAGGCAAGTCTATCAATTGACTTACTGATCACGATTCAATTGATCTTCGCGTGGTAGTGCTAAACGTTAAGATTTGGTTCAAAGTAGAATCCCAAGAATGGAAAGCCAAAAAAGAAAAACTGAAAATTCTAAAAGTTTTGCCGAAATCACAGCCCAATTCGTGCAAAAAGACGGAGAACGGGTGTACTGCCGGATTGAAGGAAACAACAAGTGCACATACATCCAATCAAAATACGATGCCGGAAACTTTATCCGTCATTTTCGGACTCGTCACACAAACCTGGCTAAAGAGCACGGTTTGATAAGTGAACATGCAACGCCGAAGAAAAAACCTCGAATTATCCCTAAAAAATCAGTTCCAATTGACAAACAGTTGCTCGTGGATTCAGCCATAAAACTCGTAACCTACCATCATCTTCCACTGTCGTGTTTCCAGTGGGAAGGCCTTAGACAGCTACTGGATCCCTTAGAAGCAGCTGTGGGAATCAAGCTGAACCGATCAAACGCAACAGTACACATTGAGCAAGCAGCATCTAAAATCCGGACAACCATGGCAATCGAAATGAAAACCAGACTGTTATGCTTAATGATCGACTCAGCCTCTCGACTTAACCATCATGTTCTGGGGATTGGAGTGCAATTCGCTGTGGGTGACACAATTGTAACCAGAACACTAGGTGAGAAGATCTATAATTATTTTTGACACTTTTTTTGAGAACATATTTGCTATAGGTATGATCGAGGTCAAGGACCGTCAAACTGCTGGTTTTTTGAAATCAAAAGTTCTCGAAATACTGGCTCGATATGGTCTCAAGCTTGATCAAATTTTTGCGATAACGGTCGACAATGGAGCCAACATGCTTGCTTGTGTCAGGCAGCTCAAGGATGAGTTTGAGGCATCATTGATTCCTATGTTGACTGAAGAAGACGACGAAGCATCAAACAGCATTGCTGAGGAAATGGCCGAGAAGATTACAAATGAGTTCCATGACCAGGCACGAGAGAACTTAAACCTGGTGAGATGTGCTGTACACACCCTACAGCTGGCCATCCTCGATGTCGTGGATAAAAGCCACCCTAACGTGAAGCAAGTTACTGAGGTTGCCAAACGCTGTAAAAACGTGAAATACAAAACGAATTTCGATTACCACAACGCCACATATCCTCCAGTTTGGTGCCAGACAAGATGGGGTGGGATATTCAAGATGCTCGATAGTTTTTTAGAGCAGAAATCCTTCTTTGTCCAACTGGGACAGGAGTTCCCTGAGCTATGTAAGATAAATTTAGAACTCTACAAAAGAAATAACGATAACACAAATCATCATCATTATTTATAACAGATCTTTCATCCAACTGGGAATTCGTCGAGCAATATGTTGAAGCATTCAGGCCATTATTCGTTTGCACAAAAAAATTCCAAGAAGCTCACATGTCACTTAACGATTTTTATCTTGAATGGTTGATGACAATACGCGAGGTGAGACAGCTGGAAAACAATCCGTTTTCCAAAGTTTTGGTCGAATCGCTGACAAGGAGACTCACAAACCTCAAAGGCTCTATGGCGTTTAAAATGGCATTATATCTGGACCCGCGGCTTTCTTTCATAAATTCAAAAATATTCACCATTGCCGAAAAGGAACATATACAGGTAACAATAAATAAAACGGTACAGTTTATACCAGGCACATCAGAGTTCATAAATTTTTTTTCCTAAATATACAGAGATTTATTTTTCAAACATGGGAACGCATCAAACGGCTGGAAATCGATTCCGTTGAACCGACTACCTCGGCTAATGACAACAGTGAAACCAACGAAAAGGATGATTTTATCACGGAAATGTTTGGTGGAACATTGGTTGCTTCATCTTCAAACTCCACATTCCAGCAACAGGTTAAGGCTCTTGAGGCGGAACAACGTCAACCTACGTCATACAACGTGTGGCAACATTGGATGAACCGTAAGACTAGTCACCGTGAGCTATCTGCTGTTGCTGCAGTGGTAATGTCTGTACCAGCGACGCAGTCAATGGTTGAAAGGGCGTTCAGCGCTCTAACACTGGTTCTTTCACCCCATCGGTCCACATTAGGCGAGGGCACATTGGAAAACATCCTACTGATAAAGCTAAACCGGGAGGTTTATGAACAAATAATCCCTACTCTATACAATTGGAAGGATTCATTGGCCGACTATTGAGGACGGCATCTTCGGAATCAACTGATTTTCTTATTTTTTATTTTTCATCAATTGCTTTGTTTCAACTGTTTCTTGGCTCAATTGGTTGAAAGACAACAGAAAAATAGAGGTGGGTGGACGGCACCACCCGCCACATAAATGGAGGGATTAATTGTTTTTCTATGATTAGTGATAATAAGGACATATATTCAAATAGAATAAGGGCCTAGCACCTGTTGTACACGATGACTTCTCTCAATGATGACTAGGAATTTAAGACACGCTCACGCAAACCAAAATAACCACCAGACAGGGGCAGTCTTTCCCTACCCGAAAGTTATGTTGGTTTACGTGGGCAAGTCTGATTTTCTAAAAAACATGTAGAGAAGGTATTGTTGATAAAAGTTGTTAGGCCCTTTTCCAGTTCTATCTAGAATTATTCAATCTTTATGGCTATAGCATATAGGCACCCAGGCAATAATCAACACATAAAAACCAACCACCTTACCAGTGAGCACTTTTCCTATAGCTCGTGAACTCTTCCTTATTATGTTCATTTAATTAATTTATTCTTCAGTTAGTAACCACTTCACCATTCTTGAAAGATTAAATTACATGTAGACAATTTGAAAATTATGTACACTGACAGACTAACTCACTTCACCCAAAAGGAATTCAATGTCGTTATTTTTTCAATAATTCAAATAAGGCCATTCATAAAAAATCGATTTATTAAGAAATGGTGATGACAATTGTAGAGGTAGGTGGCTATACTTGATCCACTTTCATGAGATGCGTAGCCAATGCTAAAAAGTTTTGTTTATTTCTGTAGAACTGGAAAAAGGGCCTAACAGTTTTTGAAAACAATGCCTTCTCTAGATGATTTCCAGAAACTAAAAACTCACCCACGTAAACCCACATAACCATTGGGTAGGGAAAGACTGCCCCCAACCCAGGTGTTATGTTGGTTTGCGTGGGAGTGTCTCGAATTCCTAGGCATCATCGAGAGAAGTCTTTGTTTACAAAAGCTTCTAGGCCAAAACAACCATCATGAGGGTCAAGTCTCCCCTCGAATCAAGTATGGACACTCTCCTTTACTGTTATCTCCTCAATTTATCCGCGTTATCCA